CTTGATAAAATAACTACTTGAGCAAGCAGCATATTCACATTGTTTGATACTTCACAGGCGAAGATTTTGCAGAAAGTCGCTCATCTGCTCTTGGAGCAAACGGGTGGCCTCTGATTCAGGATGAAAAACATGATACACGTGCGATTCGTCCTTGGCTACGACCAATTCCACTCTCTTCACCCCTTTGTTGTGCAGAAATTCTGCATACGCGACTCCTCTTTCTTTCAAGAAGTCCAATCCTGCAACATAAACCACCACTGCTGGAAATTGGCACCATTCAGCATCACTCAAATCTGCTTTCTCAAAATTGCATCCATAAAAATCTCGGTCTGATCCTTCCGGCAAACTCAGCCCCCAAAACATGTCATTCATAGCCACTTCCTGGGTCGAACCCTCGGCCAGTTCTAGTTTAGTCCTCTTTTCACTACCAAAATAAGGGTGGATTGGCAGCAACCCTTTTATTAAAACATGAAAATTATTACTTTTAATAGCTTTTATAGCAACCTGATGAGCAATATTTCCTCCAGCGCTATCACCAGAAAGAGAAACGCGCTTGAGATCAGCACGTTGAAGCCATGGTTCAATGCACCTATTGACATGCAGCCATTCAAGCGCACTATAACAATCATCATAAGCTATTGGGAGCTTGTTCTCTGGTGAAAGGCGGTAGTCTACTGAAAGGACAATGGTTTTTGCTCTAACCGATAAATCTCCAAGGAAAATGTGGTATCCTAACCATGTAGTCGAGCCAATGCAAAATCCTCCACCGTGGAAATAAACCAGAACCGGAAGTTGGGTTGATGATTCCGGGACATGACGAAGGAAAATTCTAGCGGTTATTGGCTTTGACGGATCAATCACTACGTCTTTGGATATGTATCCATTTGATGATTCGCTTAATGGGGTTGCTATTTCAGGAGAAAAGCGTTTAACATTGCCATCAGAGAATACTTGAATATAGCCCGCGGCTTCGGCAACTATAGACATTTTGATTTCCATGTTTACATCAAATTGGGCTTTAATAGGCTTCTGGGGTGCAGAAAATGGAGGAGATTGGTGGAAAGTTGGTTACTCATAGAAAGTGCGATGGTGTTGATACTTGCTATAGTTAACTTAATAATCTTTGCTTTGTATTATTGTATGAAAATGACATAAAAAGATAGAAATTAGGCCAAAATAGGCGTGAGATAGAGAGAAATTTGGTATAGTTTGTATGATTGTATGGCAATAATTAATTTTGGGACCTTAGATGAATAAATTAGAAGTTCAGTGTGAATTTCACAAGGAAATTAACTTCGATGACCAAAATAAAACACACCCATAAATTCAGGGCCCAAACAAGTTTTTAACCTCAACGATTGGAAGTAGGCAAAGCCGCAAAAAGCATAAAAGAGCGAAAAATAATAAAATTATATCGCGCCAGGTAGGGGTCGAACCTACGACTTTCTGCTTAGGAAACAGACGCTCTATCCACTGAGCTACAGGCGCATCCGTCGACTTACAAATTAAGCGAATAATACTTAAATGTGTATTGTAATGATGAAAATGATAATCCACCTACATTATCAAAGTCTGCACCAAGAATAGCAACTAAGCAATAAGAAGATAATGCAATTTTCACACTAGGAAAGCTGTAATATTATGTTAAAATCGCCGTTCTTTCATCAAAGTCAAACTACAAATTATTGAGGTAAACAAAACGACAGACTAGAAGCTACTAAGATGATTTGATTAAGCACTACAAAATGACATTCAAGTACGTAGAGTAGCTCCCCAAACATTTGATTTTCAGATATGGAGGTTCATGTCATGGCGCTTCTTTTGACTTCCAAATGTAATGTTTACAGGAAAACCTCGAGTAAGACTATGGGCTTCAAGGAGGAAATATCATAACCAGAAGTATGATAACAGTAGTTACTTAGCTTCATGCTCCATGACAGGATTTAACTTCCCGAATTCGTCCAAGTCACGATCTTGCATGAGTGGAAATGAGAACATGTTTACAGTGGAACTTCCACTTCTGATTTCCCTGAGGGGTTCGTAAGGCCGATATCGTAAGCCTCGTGTACATGTTTTCCATTTTTAATTGTTGAAAGTTCTTCAGGCACCCTAAGAAGTTTTTCTTTATCTTCAGTACCAACCCAGTCGCTGCAACCTTCTTTTTGATCAGTCTCTTCTGGTGGGATCAATTGCTCATGCCATGAGAAGATGCTGTAAACATTATCTCACACTCCTTCACTAGATTATTCAAACCTTCAGTTTTAAAGAAGGGCTCGTGCAAATCTTTTGGATGAAAGGTAGTCGCATGAGTTCCCCACTTCGCTTGTCGTATTTTTTCATGATCTTCACTAATCCTGCCAGAAAACCAATAAAAAGTTCAGAAATGATGAACCTCGCTTCCAAACATGTATACATCAAATCCCATAAGGAGTTCTGCTTAAATGGAATCAGGGACTAGTCATGGGAACACACCCACCAAGTAATAGTAAAAGGAAACGCAGTTTTTGTCCACAACTATTTCTACATATCATCGATTTCTGAACTCAATCCTCATCAATAATTGTCTCCCTATATTCCTCTTAGTGCAATGATGAATAGGATCTATACCACTATGGAAGTTTACCCTGATAACCACTGCTTTCATATTTGCTACATCAATAAACATATTTGATAAGCCTGTATGTCTTAATGACATCTTACAATGAATTGACTGTATAGTTCCTCGTCTCCACTCACTTTTGAGGAATTACGGGCTATCTCTTATGCAATTGCCCAGCAAGACTAGCTGAGTTGAGCGGGTGTCTTTGCTCAAAATTGAAGAAACTGGCAATTGTAAAGAAAATAGTACAGGGAATTTTCAGAAGAGAAAGAAAAGGGAAAAACAAAAAAAGATTTATTGCTCTCATAAAAGAAGGTTGTCCATCTTTCTCTCTATTTCACTCATGCACTTCACAACACTCGTGTCACTTCTCTTACCACATCTCCCTCATTCTTGACGGATACTTAATAGAACTCATGCTTTCAATTTTCCCTATTTAACATTACAGTTGATTGGGATCAACTATTAGTCAGCAGAAAGAAAATGTGAAGCTGTAAGTGTATGAACGGATTGCCTACTGGCTTCTCCAATAGAAGAAAACAATACAGAAAATCCAATAAAAACAAGACATTTTACAAGTGTTAAAAAGATCCCAATAAAATCTGGAAATATGTTTACTCTTCTCCCTCTTCCTAAATCATTATCCCCCATGGGAAGATAACTCCCACTTATTACTCATCCTAAAATCAGAAGATAACCTCAACCTGCACAGGAAGCGAGAAAAGAAAATTATCTCACCGGTAACAATTCAGTAGGGAAATCTCTATAGAAAGAGATTTGAAGAAAAAATAAATCTTCCTGGTTCGCTTTGTACCAACGTTTACTTCCCATGTTAGTGTAGCAAGTTCCTCAAGATTCATAGCGATGAACATGTCAACAGTTTATATGTGATTAGACTAACAAATCTGCCCACTTAACGTACTTCTTCCAATTTTGAGTAAACTGGTCTAACATAAATGACTGCAGTTCTAATGTGGAAGTTCCGATAATATAAAATGTAGGGTCTATCTTCTACTTTGGTTGCAAAGACCTCCTTCTATTATAAATACGTACCCTCGAGTCAAGAAAGCTCCTGATCAAATTACGATCAGATTAAGGGGTAAAATGTTATGGTAACCATTTATGATAAGGAGAAATATAATGACTGTGCCGCACAAAAACATCATCATGGAGACAGCATGCAAAAAAATCTCATATTTTAACTGCTAAAATGGCAATTCTCAGCTCAAACAATCATCACACATTCACGAGAGGGAGCAAGCCATTTACTACAATGCACAATAAGGAGCAGGGACCTGTATAGTGTAGAGCACTGTAATTCTCCAACAGAATGATCTCGCCATGAAAACCTACAATCTTTCTTCCTATTTTCATCAGCTCTATCTCTGAATCCTTAGCTTCTTCAACCTCTTCTTTTAGCAGCATTATTCAACCGAAACTCAAATATTAAGAAAGGTTCTCCATCAGTAAGGCCACAACTCAAGTCATCTAGAAAATACAGATTCCATTAGAATGCCATGCAGTTTAATATAGACCAACTCTGTTTTATCTCCTAGTTTCTTGCATTTCTACACATATTTTCTTTCCTTTTCTTTC